TACAGGCCTTTAGTTGCAAAGTTATAAGCCTGTTGTTGTGCTTTGGTTGCAATATAACACAAGTCGGAAAAGACTATATGCCTTAGCTAAGTTACGCCTAACGCTACAATAAAAAGCGAACACAGTTTTTTAGAACAGTCCTCGGGAAGGGTACAAATTATGCGTTGACAGGTTTTTTTAGTGAAACTGGCGTTTAACGTAGATCGCGGCGCAAATGTACCGCAAACTTAGACTTATTGTAGCAATATTCGGGAAAATTATTTTTTCGTATATTTTGTAACACTGTGTTAATCTTCATTTATCTTGACTACATTTGGCGAAAATTTGATAGAAATTGGATAAAAATTCCCCGACTAATGGTAGATCTCCCGAAACGCGTGTCTAGGGTGTTCTGTAACCTTAACTTTGTTAAAAAAATAGTCGCTGAAAGGGAAGAGAGATATTAGGTTTGTTGTCTTGCAAAAGTTCTCTGTCTTCGCAACGGAATTACAGTAGCGTATATTGCCAGAGATCAAATGGTAGAACGGATAACTCTACTGTTAAATGTCATTTTCCAGTCAAAATGGCAATCTGAAAAAATTAAAACTAACAAACGAACAGAAACAAGACCGATAATATGTTCTGATATTACAACACTATACAAAATAATCATACCCACAATACAAAATAATCATATCGATCGCCATCAAAACTCACAAAAAATTAATCTTTATTACGACTGTACATTTATACACTTATTTCAAATCATTTTAATAGTTCTACTTCTTACTAATGTCAATGTTCAGATTAAAATGTTTTTGTTCAATAAAAGGTATATTAGCATGCTAAGTTTTTTTTCAACGAAATTACATGTTCAATATTTAAACAGAGATTATATAGGTTATATATAAAACTTTTACATGATTAATCAATTTGATGAAAATCATTGTTTAAACAAATACTAGTTATAGGAAAAGTAATTTATACATGCAATATTTACATAGAAATTATACAAGTTATATATAAAGTGGAAACACAATACGCTTCACAGCAAAGTTAACCCACTGATCTGAAAACACTGGATGGAGTTTCCTTTTGTATTCAATAAACCAATTTTGAAGTCAGAATATTTATACTAAGATGAGATCTTAAAGTCTGTCAAAATCTCTGCAAACTGGATCACGATGGGTTTAAATTAGGTACATTAAGAAGCAAATGTCTTTTCCTATGCAACTTAAAAAATATAGCTTCACATATTTCTTCTAATGAGTTTTAGAACGTTTTAAACACTAGATAATGGGACTTGTGGCAGCCATCTTGGTGTGACATCAGTTATTCACGAGCAAATTTAAGCGGGAAGAGAGACGACTGTTGATAAATTGCTATTCAGACAATGTTTATCCTTTCTCAGCGATAACTAGAAACTGTAAGAACCTCTTAAACTATGTCATCAACACCACAGTAGATTTGTGCTGCTCACATCAATATGCCCGACATTGCTTTCATTTCTGCACAGTGGATGCAATCTCCAGTATTAGGTTTGAGGTCAGTGAGTTAACCCAAGTGCAGGTCATTGATGATGGCTATAATTTCATGTCGTGTAGATACTAAATATGCAAATGTAAAGTCGGTTGACCGGTGTGTCTATTAGATAGAAGGCGTTTATTAGAGAGTGGGCGTTTATTGGATCGTTTATGATATTCATGCAAAGGCGAATAAGAAGTTTATATGGAAATCTTTTCAGTTGCGAGGTTTTACTACAGCAGTTGCAAGGAATCTTTTTTCCTTCATCCCTGGCAGTTCTCTCCAATGATCACCTCCCATTGTGAAACGTTCTACTGAGTTGAGATGCCCCTCCTCGTCATTATATCCTCCCAATACAATAATGACGTCATGCATAATTACTGCTGAGGAACCAATCCTCTTGTGTATCAGTGTAGGCAACTTGTGACTTTGTCCTGTTTCAGTATCGTACATGAGGACTTCATTTAAGACCTGGTCATTCTTATCGTAGCCGCCAATAAGTATGACCATGTTCCCCCAAGTAACTGTGGACATTCCCCTGACAGGCTTGGGTAACGATGGACATGGTTTGACCTCATTCTTGATGAAATCATACACGACAACGCTATCAATGGCGTCTTTACTAAGGCTTGTTGTCGTTCCTCCCAAGATAAATAGTTTGCCATTTACAATCTCTGCCCTGTGGTTTTTTCTTGGCTGAAGTATTCTTGCCAGCAGCTTCGTAGTATGGGGCGGGATAATAGACAGTTCGTATATGTTATCGTTTGTTTTGTTTTCAGTCCAGTTATATCCTCCCATGACGTATAGTTTACCTTGATAAACTACAACGTCATGATCAGTTAACTTGACCGGCAGTTTACCATCAAACATCATCCATCGCAAAGGATCCTGGTTTATCTTTATAATCTCAATGCTGTCTGTACCATTTAGACCATCGAAGCCGCCAGTGACGATGATGTCACCGTTGTAAACGCATGATGCTGATGATACTCGAGGGTGATGTAGTTTCGGTAGCTGAGTCGACTTCCCCTCTACCAGGTTGAATTTCTCAACTGTATTCGATACATTTATTCCGGGGTCATAATAACCGCCAATAATAATGATGTCTTGGTCGTTGACTAGAACTGGTGGATCTAAAGCTTGAGCACCATTGTTGTTTATATTTCTTCCGTGCAACAGCTGATTCAACATTTGTGTCATTCTTTCAAATTGGTTTCTTACCTCGACTTCAAACACCTTTTGATCTGCTTTCATTTCTGCTTGAGTTTGCTTCATCTCATCAACATTATCCTGAAGAGTAAAATTAAAAACTTGCATATCTATTCTCATAGATGACACTGCATGCATTTTGATAAAATGTGGTTTGGGCAGTGACTAAAAATACCCAACTCATAATTGTTCTGTTTTGTGAAAAACATCAGATTGATCGTTTTTTGACCAAGCTTGCAATCCGTAAGCTCAAATCGTCGTCAATAATACCATATGTGCAATGATGAAAATCTTAAGGCTTGCAGATTGAATGCTTTGCCGCGTATCAGAAAAAGTACACGGGTGGAAAAAGTTCACTAAAGTCAGATGCGCGCGACCTTTGCGAAAACTTTCAGTAAGCCTATGTACTTTAACGTTCTCTGGTACATCTTGCACTAAAATTATTTAAAATTATAGATTAGGAAGGCTGTTTCTAAAAAAACCCTAAAAAAAGGCGTTGCGCAAAAACATTTTTCATCGGAAACAAAATGTAATCGCACAGAGAATATGGACTGTCTTGCACAAGCTGTCAAAGTTTAAAGAAATTTGGTGCATGCGTAGCCCAACGCGATCGAGATCTTGAAAACCTGGATTTTCTCCCGTTTTGTTACTTCAAACGCGATTTCTTTGCATGATTTCAAATTAATTTTATGCATGCTCAGACGTTTGCATAAATTACAGTACGAAATTCGCAAGCCAATTCCCAAAGGTCCTAGAGTTAGTAACAGCGTTTATTTGCAAAATTATTGACATGCAGTGTTTATTTACGAACGAAATCAATCTTCAACGTGCCCTCTCCTATGTTGAAGATTGATTTTGTTTGTAAATAAACACTGCATGTCACTAATTTTGTGAAAGGACCTTTGCAAGGAAAGGATCTTTGATAATATCTCTGGCTGAGGTTTAAATTATACTTCTCAAATTCATTAATAATTCGTGAGCAATTCAGCCAATGATAATCACCTATTTGATCACAAGATGCCATTTGGATAACCCGGTGAAACTTGATGAAAGTCACTAGTGTTTTCATCAAATATCTTAATTACGCATGCAAAATTACTTGAATAGAATTCCTAATTACGTTGTGCTTGGTTAAGAATTCTGTTCAAGTCAGCAAACGAAAACATTCTGTTACGTCTCGATTCATTTGAGAAGCCATATAAACAACTCGAGCTCGTGTCTCATCGTGTTTGGATATCCCGGTGAAACACTCGCTCTCGTTCATATATTACATATAATCAAAGACTGATGATTTTCAAAATTCTCATTTATTTACAGCAAACGTTTCCTTGTCATTCGTGGTTAAACGTGGTCCACTCAGGTGTATTTTTAAATCAGATCAAATGCTAAATTGTGGTTAATACAGTAAGTAATAAAAATTAATCTTATAATTGTTCATTTGTTCTATTTTGTGGAAAACAGCACGTTCATCTATTTGACGAGGCTTCCAATCCGTAAGCCTGGAATGTGCATTGATGAAGACGTTGACTTATATAGCTTGGGAATGATAGCCTGTGTTCCAGTCGACTGAACCGTTGTGTTCAAGTCAGCAAACGAAAACATTCTGTTACGTCTCGATTCATTTGAGAAGCCATATAAACAACTCGAGCTCGTGTCTCATCGTGTTTGGATATCCCGGTGAAACACTCGCTCTCGTTCATATATTACATATAATTAAAGACTGATGATTTTCAAAATTCTCATTTATTTACAGCAAACGTTTCCTTGTCATTCGTGGTTAAACGTGGTCCACTCAGGTGTATTTTTAAATCAGATCAAATGCTAAATTGTGGTTAATACAGTAAGTAATAAAAATTAATCTTATAATTGTTCATTTGTTCTATTTTGTGGAAAACAGCACGTTCATCTATTTGACGAGGCTTCCAATCCGTAAGCCTGGAATGTGCATTGATGAAGACGTTGACTTATATAGCTTGGGAATGATAGCCTGAGTTCCAGTCGACTGAACCGTTGTGTGTAGTATAGACTGGAAGACAGGCTAGGTAATGGTAGGTTTGGCAAGTGGATAAATATAAGCTCGACATAATTTTGTTTTACCTTCATTTGATTTACTTGATCATTTATAACATTTTGAGCTTGCTTTATTTCGTCAACATTTTCCTAAAGTATAAGCGTTAAGATTACTCAGAGACAATACTGACCATGATCATGAATGATCGCAAGTGAGCGCAAATTCCCACGGGTTACAACCGGTTCAGAATAGCAGAATTGTGATGAAAGTATTGAGATTGGGTTCTACAAGGATTACTATTATGTATTATTTCATTGCATTTTTGTGGGATTGTCGCGAACATATATTCGTGCAGGGATCTGTACTGTATACATGTATATTTCAGCTACACCAAACGTATTTCCGAACGCCTTGTTTCTCATCTCTGACTGTTGTGACATGACATTCAATAGATTTTTTATATCGGGTTTATATTGTGTGGTCGTGGTGTAAATAGTCTATAGTCTGTACAAAACATCTTTATATTCGTTACAACCGAATTTCTCTATCCAAATATCCATGCAAGATGAAGCACTAACCACCTAGACGGCCAAAACCCAGCTGGCGCAAAAATAGGCTATAAGGACCGCCTATAATCTAACAGCGCAAAAATCTTGTCTTTACCTTAACTTGATCTTGAGTTGCTTTCATTTCATATTGTCTTGCTTTAATATATCTGCACTCGTAGCACTTGGTGATTCTAAACTGGCAGAGTTCTCGTTCATGGATTTGTTTATCTCTCTTATTGACCACCGTCCCACATCCTTCATTTCCACACATAACAGGCGCGAAGCCACATTGCTCAACATGATGCTGTAAATTTCCAAGCTGGACGTAGCCCGAACATCCTCGCTCATTGTTATCACACTTGATTTTCAGCTCTGTTAAGGTATTTTTCAAAAATCTCGGTGGATTTTTGAGGGTTTCTGGGGTCAGGTGTTCTCTGCATTCAGGACATGTATGGGAATTACGAAGATGTTGAGATATACAAGAAAGGCAAAATGGATGTTCTTTATTCTCGCAAGTTCGTGGATTTCTGAGCACCCCTTGACAAATGGAGCAAAATAGATCTTCTCTGACTCGACCTTCAAAACGTCTATCATCATATCCTTGCTCGTCACTCTCTATTCTATGCGCCATTGTTGAACGCCTGAAAAAAAAGTTGTAAACAATTGTTAGGTTATACACAATGCTCGGATGGAATGATCGTCTTTATTCCTTAGGCGGATTTTATGAGGGAGAGTCCAGGGAATGCGCACGCATCCCCCCAGAAAATAGCACCACTCTCTGGAAATTTAAATACTCATTGAATTAAATGGCAGTGGTATGATTAAAATAAGGATTTTGAAGAAAATAACACCAAAAATACAAAAATTTCAACAAAATAAGACTTTGATCTGCTGATTTATAGGTAATCTTTGAAGTTTCTGTAACAAATTGATTGTAGACGGCGTCAACTGTATATTGTGTTTGAGACAACACCTTAATTTGTCGTAATATGTACTGTGTTCAAAACATCTCGTGATTTAAACGGCAGCCTCTCAACATCCTTATAAGGGGATAACTGGTTTGGTTTGGCAATGCCATTTGAACCACCATGCTGTGACAATCTGATATACGTCGAGGAATTTGTATCTCTTTAGAATTCCAAGTATCGGTTTGTAATTCCAAGTACTTGGACTTTGTTTCATATCAAAACAACAGTTTCGAACTTTCGAACGAAAATTCTCAAGTGAATTTGAAACTTCACTCTTGCTTATTGATAGATCCATATATTTTCACTTTTTGCACATCAGCACGCCAAATCGTGCGAAACCAAATGGCGTCTAATTCCATGCATCACGCACAATAAGGCTTGTCAATATGAATTAAAGTCAATTTTAACACAATTTTGAACGCAATTTAGCAATTTGTTTAGATACTAAAACTAATCAGGCAAATGTTTATGGAGTGCAGTTTTAAAATAACTTTAAAAACGCAATTTTGCTAATTCGCTATAAACTTTAATCATTATCCATGGTTGCTACGCGCTGATGAATTTAAGCATTCTCATTTTTATAGGATTTCAACTTGTATGGGGTTGGACATGTCACTCAATCTTGAAATTTGATTGGATGCAAAGCTCTTGAATTCTTCATGATTCCGTAAGTAACTTGTGAAATTAATCAATTTATATACAATGTCTTTAACAACTGAAACTCTTAGCCGTGAGCATGCTATGCATTTTTTTTATTCAAAGCTTTATATAGACACGTTTTTGTCCTCTGTCTAAATGCACGTTGATCAGCATAGCATGACCAGTTGCCATGGCTAGCTTCCGCCACTTGTTGTGAACAGACGTGCATGCAAAGCATATTATTTTCTATTCGTGAATTTCAAAAGTAATGTAACATGAAAGTAGTATTATTTACCTCCAACAGAATCCAGCAATGATCTCCTTTAAGTCTTTACCATGGCCACCACCAACAAAACTGATTACTTTGTTATGGTGATCAGAGAGCTCAAAAACATTTCCGTTCAACACTATATCTGCAAATAATAATGAATAAACATATTAGAAATTGATCAGAATGTTGTAGGCTAATATACAGAATTGCACAAAAAGTCTCACTCTATATTTTTTATTTTACAAACTTTCCGTAAATTTTTGACATTTTTTACCAAGCATTTCAGTTGGCTTTAACGATTAAATCTAACTCCGAAAACTAATTCAAACAAATAAATATATGCCATCTATCTGGTTTTGAGATTGATGATAAGTTTATAACAACATGAGATTAAAACTCTCAACAGTGACAGAATCCTATAGTCATGCGCTGATTCATCTTTTGGGCTAATTATACATCTACAGAGATTGGTGATGAGTTCTTATCCTATATAAGTACACGAGATTTAAACTCTCAACCTTCAGGAATCTAGTCTTATATGCTCTACCAGTTGAGCTATCAAGTCTACAGAGATTGGTGATGAGTTCTTATCCTTTATAAGCAGACGAGATTTAAACTCTCAACCTTCAGGAATCCAGTCCAGTGCTATACCTGTTGAGCTATCAAGTCTACAGAGATTGGTGATGAGTTCTAAAATATCCTTTATAAGTAGACGAGATTTAAACCTCAAACTTCAGGAATCTAGTCCATTGTTCTACAGAACTAGCCACCAATCTCAAACCTACAGAGTTTGATGGTGAGTAATTCTCATTGTAGATTAGCTAGTTGTAGACATTACAAGGATAATTAAATTAGACTTACCAAATTTGAGGATGGTGACAGATTATTAAATTTTTAACTCTCAATCTTCAATAGTTTAGTTCACTTGTCTAATTGTTGAGCCATCAAGCCTACAAAGATTGGCAGCGAGTTCTTAGCGTTTGCATGATGGGGATTAGTTATGACTTAGTTATAAAATATTACAAGGATTGTAAAATTATAGACTTACCAAAGTCGAGGATGTTGACAGATTATCAACTCTCAATCTTCAGAAATCTATATATAGTCCACTGTTTTAATTGTTGGGCTATCAAGTCTACAAAGATTGGCAGCAAGTTCTTAGCGTTTGCATGATGGGGAGTAGTTTTAAGCTAGTACTAGTAATACTACGAGGACTTTACGAGGACTTATTTACTTTTTGTGTGTCACTATAGACAAGTCCGCCTCGACTAGCTTTGTAGCTATTAGCGGCCTTGTCTTATTAATGTTTGTACCTATATTATATTATAAGAATAAATTGAATTGAATTGAGGAATGTATAAGATTAGACTTACCAAAGTTGACGAAAGGTAACTTAAAGGTCTTTGAAGATTCTGTAGCAACTTGATGTAGACGGTGTCAACTGTATTTTGTGTTTGATACAACACCATAATTTGTCGCAATATGTATTGTGTTCAAAACATCTCGTCATTTAATTAACCGGCAGCCTCTCAACATATCCTTATAAGGGCACAACTGGTTTGGTTTGACAATACCATCTTAACCACCATGCTGTGACAATCTGATATATCTTGGTACATTTGCATATCTCTAGAATTCTAAATATATCAGCTTGATATTTCCAGTATCAATTTTAAAATCAAAATATAGTAACGTTGTTTCATACCAAAAATTCAAGAATGTTTCCGAATTAGAGACATTTCAAAGTTGAACTTCATTGAAAAATTAAAGAATTTTTGTTCAAGTATTGCACAATTATCTGTCTTGCTGTGTGAACTTTCTATGCTTTGCAAAATTTGCATTTGTTTGACAAGAATGGTTTCTGTATTTTAACATGCAACCTTTATGTACTATTTAAAACATGAGCAGCAGTGTTTTATCAGATATACGAGGCGAAGCCGAGTATCTTTAGGTCTGATAAAACACGCACTGCGAATGTTTTAAATTGCTTCAAAAACGATCGATCTAGTAAGTTTATTGGCGAAGTAATTTTCAAAGAATACGTTGTGTAAGTCTAGAAAATCAAAGTTAAAGTTTATGTGAGTAAATCAAGGGAAATCTTTATCACATATAAAGATACGACACGCGCTTATGTTTTTTTGTGTTTTCCTCATGAATTATTGAGTTTTTGAAATATGGCTACAATATAATTGTCATTGAATATTTTTGATACTAGCATATTTTGTCTTCTAGATCTGTGTAAAGCAAAATAAAGACAGGTACACTTAAAGGAAATTGGCAACAAAAATTGCCTAATTTGAAGGAATGTTAAGGTTATTTAAGCCCCGTTTACACTACGCTCAATTTTTGGTACGGCATGGATAAAATTGGTACCCGTACCACTTTTTTGGTTCTTGGACTACCTATTTAGGTAGTCCAAGAACCAAAAAGCGGTACGGTACCAAAAATTGAGCGTAGTGTAAACGGGGCTTAGCTAAATAGGTAGTCCAGGAGCCAAAAAAGTGGTACGGGTACCAATTTTATCCGTGCCGTATCATTTTTACAAATTCTCCGAAACTATCTTACTTTTTGAGATATTTGAAACCGAAATATCCTGCCATCCGCCATCTTGTTTTATAATTACATCTAATTAAATGACGTCACAACCAGGCTATTATGTTCAGTATATAATAACATGATTACAATTTGCTATTCATAGAAATAAGCATTCTAATTATGATTTGTTGTGCCCTAGTTTAAATAAGATAAGATAAGATAAGATGATGTTTAATAGCACAAATTCGCACATAAAGTGAAGTACAAAGTGCTTACACTAAAATACTATAATAATATAAGATTATTTACAATGGTTGTTAGAACAAAGTTAAAATCAAGTCTCACCAGTCACTATTTACTATTAGCGATATTAATTGTATTTGGGAAAAAGCTATTTTTAAACCGATCGGTTCGACATTTATAAGTTGATAAATTATTTAATGATCTAATAAAATAATTATGCTCGTTCGATCTAGTCTGTGTCACGTGTTGTGTAAGCGGACCACCTCTGGTTATCTTCGTGAGTGTCTTCAAACATAGATCTTCACGTCTAGTCTCCAATTTGGTGATACCAGCCGACAGCAACGCATCTTTGTAAGTTTGTTCAGGGTATACAATACGCAAGGCTCGCTTTTGGATTTTTTCAAGTTTGTCAGATAAATAGCATGAGATAGAGTTGTGCCAAACTTCACAAGAGTATTCAAGGATTGAGCGTATTAACGCAATATACACAGTGAGAAGGTCTGCAGGAGGAATACCACTTCGGCGCAACACCCGGAGGATATGCAATCGTTTGGATGCATTCGAGACTATTTCATGGATATGTTCATCCCATTTCAGGTTGTTTTGGATCGTGAGTCCCAGTACTTTATGTGAACGCACTGTCTCAATTGGGTGTCCATCGATTAACAGAGGCATTAATTGGGGGGTTTCTCCAAGGAAACTAACACGAAGCTCTTCGCATTTTTTGATATTAAGTTTCATCCAATTATCGGAAGCCCACAACTGAACTGAATTAAGGGTTGATTGAGTGATAGAGGTGCAATTTCTGCTAAGACTCTCAGAGGTTGAAACGTCGTCTACGTATTTCCACATTCTAGTGTCGGGAGAAGTGATTCGCATTTCATTACCGATTACATTATTATTCAGCTCACTCCCCGTTGGGGCTTTTCAGTGACCGATTACATCAAGTATTACGCTTACTTATGTTACTTACTTAGCCTACACGGCAAAAAACGCCGAGCCTGTTGCTCAACAGGATTGAACAATGTTTTGCTGCCCACGTTGTTCAAACTTGTCAACAATATTGAACAATGTTGCTGAGCCTGAGTCGGGTGTAACAATATTGTTCAATATTGTTGACAGCTATGAACAATGTGGGCAGCAAAACATTGTTCAATCCTGTTTTCATCAGTATTGCATCAACCTGAGCGTTTTTACGCGTGTAGACTATTTATCTTTACAACAATTGTGATTAGTTTTTTTCTTAGTTATTTGAAGATGAAGGTTTACCTTTCGTTTGAAGATGAAATGTGATTTTATTTGTTTCGCAAGACCGTTCCACATTTCAGTTCCTTTGTTTGCTAGTGAATGTTTCGTGTAATCATAGTTAATATACAGGGTGTATAAAAAAAAACGCAACCTCGGAATTTCCTAAGAAATCACTTTGTAATTCTTAAGCATAAAAGATTTTAAGCCCCTGGGAATTGAAATCGAATTGCTAATAGATTATATTGCTGTTGTTGTGGATTAAATAAATGCATAAATTTTGCTTTATGCACTCGCGTGTGCAGAGTATTTTGACAGTTGTGCTATTTTCAATTCCCAGGCGCCTAAAATCTTTTGTCTTTAAAACAATGTCGATTTCTTGGGAAATTCCGAGGTTGCGTTTTTTTTTATACACCCTGTACAGTATATGACATGGTTTGGAAGCCCTTTGTTTTAGGTGATTGTGTACCTTGTGCAGGGTCACGGTTGAAAAATCCTTTGTCTTTCTGTTGTTTGACAATAGTCAGTTCAGAAAGCTTGGCGAAGGGAATGGGTACCAAGTATTTGTTTTGCCTACCAGGGCTATATCTTACGGCATATTTTGCAAATAACGAAGTATTACCACCATTTTTCGATGGAGTATGTTTGTGTTACATCGTTTGGTCAATTCTCATTGATTAAAACCAATATGTGCAGGGTCAAACCGACTGTTCAACCTCCATGTTTGTTTATAGCGTAATTTCTTTGAAGTTTGCCAGGTTTCCTAACCAGGTCTTATAACAACTATGGTGTAATTTGTACTTTTGTAAGACTTGTGATGGAGCGATGCGTTTAATACTGCTACTAAAAATAATTACATATCTGATTAATTAATAAGCGTATCTGCGTATATGATATATTACTCTACTAGTATATGTTAATTAATAGATAAAGCTAGCTTATATTGTAAACAAAGTTCTTAATATTTGTCAAGGGGTCTGATGTGTAAAGACCTTTCAAGTCGAATAATTTGTAAACGCTATTTAGTACGAAATCTATGAGTTCAATAAGGAAGGATGCCAAACCACGAACTAAACCATGAACCTGTTTGTATCAGCGATTTTGAAACTTTTGCCAGGCGACATTTACCGAAGGGTGCATTTAGTTATTATTCATCGGCAGCGAATGACATGCAGACGCTTGGTGAATCAACGGCAGCTTTTAAAAGGTAAGGTGGTCAGCGAATATCTGAATTGGGTTGGACAACCTCTGCATTAACCAGCCTATTGAGACCTTGCAGTTCAGTACAAGCTAAAATAAATTAGATAATATCTTCGGCCACATTTTGTACGTATACGTATATTCGCAATTCACACATTTTACCAATTAAAGAGATTTGATAACGCTAGCAACATTGAAATTGCTTCTGATTGACCAGCCAAATAACATTTTTCCATTTTAGCTTCTTGCAGCAGCAAGTAATTGGCAATAAAAACTTCAGTTTAAGTTTAATCGTAAATCAACAATTTTCATTGATGCTCTGTGTAATATACTATTATATGTCGAACGCGAACAGATAAAGCATTGTTGTGTATAAGACTAGTATACAATATTATTGCACAAGTCGTTGCACATGGACGATTCAATTTTATAAATACAATACAATAAACTTTATTTGAATTCGAATTTTTGATAGCTACAATAAGCTAATATCTTCGAATAAATTGAATAAATATAATTGAATTGTCAAGCTACTTTATACTAAAACTGTCTGTACCAGTGTAGGTCGTACCAATGTAGAAATGCTGTGCTGAGTGGTTATATTATTACCTTAAAAAATGATAAATAATTAAGAGTTTCTGCTTATTTTTTAAGGTAGTAATATAACCACTCAGCACAGCATTTCAAGCTACTTTAGCTTTTCGACACGGAGAGAGAGACATATTTACATGGACACACTAATTGACGTTTTTATTTTATTTATGTATTGTCGAGCTATTATATTTCAAATGCAAAGCACATACATTCTATCTCGGGCGGCCGAGTTACCCGGGCAACGTAATACATGGTAAAATGTATTAAATATTCATCTCGCCTAGGCGATATATCCCGCATCTTTCTGCGGGGAACTCGAGTTACTCGGCTGCATCATGTAAGCAGTTACCCGGGATTTCATCACTATAAGTTTCTATAATAGCCGGGATCTCGCCGTGGCCGAGTAACTCGCCTTCATATAAACAGGCATGGGCGTACCGGAAGGAAAAAATTAGGGGGGCGGAAAGAAAATTGCCCGACTTTTCGTAAAATTGCCCGACTTTTCGTGATTGTGCCCGACTAGTACCAAAAAATTTTTCCCGGAAAATTTATTTTGGCGACCTCCCTCCCCCTCCCCGTCGCCAAAAAAATTTCGGTCAGTCTACCATTTAAGGGGTCAAAAAAATTTTCCGGACATACCAAAATTTTTCGGAGCATCACATAAATTTTCCAAAAAACACTTCATTTGCCACAATACTAAATTTTCGAAAAAATTGACAGAATTTGTCCGATTTATTCTTATAACAAACCAAAATTGCCCGACTGTTAATCGAATATTGCCCGACTGCCCAAAAAACTGGGGGGGCTACCGCCCC